GTCGAAATATTCTAAACTTTACAACAAACACAAAAAGTTGAAAGGAAAACAAAAACAAATGGCATATGATATTTATGAAGATGTTGACGACACAACTGTTCCTGCAAGTGAAGTAAAGTCAGAGGAACCGAAAAGTGACGAAAAACCGATAGAAGAAGAGAAACCAAAAACTGAAGATAAACCAAAACCAAAGTTTAGTTTCCAAACTAAACCAAGTCAACCTTCATTAGCTGGTATGGGTTGGCGTCAAAGACTTATGGCAGCAGGCGGTTATGTAAAGTAAAGAAAAAAATATTTTTTTATTTTTATAAAAATGCCCCCATATAGAATGGACAGAAAGTCTGCTAGAATAAAAGCAGAGTTGCAAAGATATGGTTGGAGAGTTTCGAAGAAGTTTAAATATAAGAAAGGAAGACCCATAAAAGTCTATGACAAACTGGCTGGTCTGACCTACGAATTAGATTTGGAAACAGCACGTGCCAATTATCCAAACAGACTAGAGAGGTTAGAAGAAGAACGTCTTATGGACATGCCTTTCGATGTTAGTGAACCTCAAGTTGAAGTATCATAAGACGAAATGGTGGAAGTGAACTCAAAATAAGAGTAATTAGGTTATTTTGCCGACCAAATATATTTACAAGGCAAAATATCATATTACATGTCAACCTATTATCAGTATGTTTTGATAAAAAAAATTTTATCAAATATCATATTAAAATTAACATCTATATCTATATCAATATCTACACTATAAATTTTTTTATTCAATATCATAGATTTCAAAAATTTATTTCAATTTTAAATTAATTTATGGTTTTCATCAAAATTGTTTTTTATTAAAAAGCATGTTTCACAATTTTTACGGTTTCTTTCAAAAATTATAAAAAGAGAGTCAATAAGAAATTTCAACGCTTCAAGAAGGAATCAAAGAAATTGACGAAGTTCCAGAATTTTATTCAACAATTCTTAATCAATTAACAAAAACTATACCGAAACTTATCTTACCATCCAAATCAAATCACATTACATACGGAATAAACATTTAATCTTTTACCATTAAAATTATATTTATACGTTATTTAATTTTTTTACGTCTAAGTTGAATAGGATAATAGCCGAAGATATAAAGTAACTATAGTTTACAAGCTAAGGAACAAATCAGCATTGAAACTAAAAAATGCTGAAATATTATAATAAATTGAAGAAATACTGTGATAGGAATACCTAGTTATACTAGATACTATTATTAATATGAATTCATTTGTATTGAATATCGATTAAAATAAGATGGAACGTCCAATTTGACAGACTCAAGTTTCGAATTAGAGACCAACTTTCATCAGCATAGTATATGTGCCAAACTACTGCATAATGGTATGCTTATCTTTTCATTTTAAAAAATAACGTATTTGAATAATTTCGTAAAAAAATTAGAATTACTCGATATTAAGCATATTGCTTTTCTTCATATATGCTTATATTCTACAATAGTGTTACCAAACATCGGGCAACATCATACGTATAATACAACTTTTTCGTACTTCTTTATCGAATTTAAATAGAACTAAGTTTTTATTTTAAATAAAAGAGAAATAATTCTAATTTATAATCTCATTATTAATTTATTCTGTAATAAACAGAAATTCATCAAAAGTGACAGCTCTCAATTTTTTGACATTTGTAAATTCTAAATTGAATGAGAAAAATGAAATAATACTAAGCATAATACAATATTCTAGATTTAATTATAATTAGGAAAAAGTTAGTTTTGAGAGTACTTTTCATAGGCATATAGAATGAAATCTTCTGAAAAATAATATCACATAAACTCATATTATTTTCTAATAAAAAAAAAAAAAAAAAAAAAGGTAGTGGGGCTTCCAGGCACTTCGTGCCCTCTAGCCCCGAAGATGTTTAGAATATGAGAGAGGTCCTATAAACCGGAGAAAGTGTCATATAAACATCTGTCATTTTACTCAGAATTTTCATGAAATTTACACCAAAAATATATTTTAGGGTAGAAGGGTATATCTAACCTCTTTTCTAACCACTTTTCTACCCTCTTGAATTTTCATGAAATTTACACCAAAAATATATTTTAGGGTAGAAGGGTATATCTAACCTCTTTTCTAACCTCTTTTCTACCCTCTTGAATTTTCATGAAATTTACACCAAAAATATACTACTAGGGTCATTTACGAAGAAATCTCAACAAAGTCTTTACGATGAAGTCTTTGACAAAGTCTTTACGAAGAAGTCTCAACAAAGTCTTTACGAAGAAGTCTCAACAAAGTCTTTACGAAGAAGTCTTAACAAAGTTCTTACGAAGAAATTCATGAAAATTCAAGAGGGTAGAAAAGAGTGTTAGAAAAGAGGTTAGATATACCCTTCTACCCTAAAATATATTTTGGGTCATATTACGAAGAAGTCTCACAAAGTCTTTACGAAGAAGTCTTAACAAAGTCTTTACGAAGAAGTCTTAACAAAGTCTTTACGAAGAAGTCTCAACAAAGTCTTTACGAAGAAGTCTTAACAAAGTCTTTACGAAGAAGTCACAATAAAGTCTTTATGAAGAAGTCTTGACAAAACATTTATGAAGAAATCTCAACAAAGTCTTTACGAAGAAGTCACAACAAAACATCTGTCAAAAACCGCTTTTTAACTTCACTTAAAATGCCACGTAAGCTACGTAAGAATATACGTAAGAGGAAGAGAGCATTGAAACATCCAATAGTAAGACTGACACAACAACAACAGTTGCAACAACAAATGCTGAATGACCCCCACTATGTTGCAACAAATGTCAAGCAATCCTATGCTTTTAACCGAGTTGTTGGTGCACAGAGTGGAGGTTTAAGAGCGGCACTTTTAGCGAAAATGGCAGGCTATGGTGGAGCTGCAGACGGAACAGCCTATAACCCTCAAAGTCAAATGAATTTGAGTTCACTCAAAAATCAAATAACAGATGTCAAAAAGTCAAACATAGACATACAGAAGCAAATAAGTGAAAACGAAAAGAAACTAGAATATGACAGACACACAAAGAAACTCAATGAGTTAAACGTAGAGAAAAGAAGAAAGAAGAACAACTGAAAGACTAAGTACAGAGGAATATGCGAAAAAAGTGTCAGAAAAAGCAGCAGAAGTAGCAAAAATGGAACAAGATGTCATAAATTTGAAAAACCATACTACTCAATATAAAATACTGAAAGATGAAGAGATAAAACAAAAAGCCCTGAAGACATATATGGATAGCGATGAGTATAAAAAAGAAGTTGAAGCAAATGTAAAGGCAGAAAAACTTTTACAGTTGCAAAACCAAACCGTACAGTATGAAAACTTAGCACAAGAAAGTAAAAATAACGACGCGGCTATGCAAAAGGCAATGAAAAGCGCAGAATATATAAAAGCTAACAATGACTGGTTAGATGCCCAAGCCAACGCTAAAGCAGCCCAACTCATAGGGTCAATAAGGACAAAAATACAAGCGGATGAAGACAGTTCAAATGAAGCTTTAACAAATGCTGACTTTAAGAACGCTTTCGAAGCTCTTCATAGTAAGGTGAAACAAGTGAACGACTTCTCATCTGGAAAGAAACTGAAGTCTGAAGGTTTCGACAAAGAGTTAAAAGAAGTAGCACAAAATATGACGAAAATAACAGATGCAGCAACGAGACAGGCAGTTCAAAGTGCCTATGACGCCGTTAGAGCAACTGTTGTGGAAAGTCAAGAAAAAGAGTTACAACAGACCAAAACAGACCTAGTAAATGCTTTCTTAAAAACGAAAAGTCAGGTAGGACATTATGCTGCAGATGGAACATATGTGCCAGTTGGTGGAACTTATATACCACCAAACCCTCCAAGAGAAGCACCTGCACCAGGACTACCTAAAACATTTACATCGTCACATGGACACAGACACAGGCATGCACCAAAACCAACACAACAACCAACAGTTCAAAACCCTGCACAACAACAACAACAACAACAACCAACACAACAACCAACAGTTCAAAATTCAGCACAACCAACAGTTCAAAACCCTGCACAACAACAACCACAAACAGAGCAAGGACATAAAAGAAGTAGAGAACAAGGAAACCAAGAATTCTTAAAAATGCTTAAAGAAGAGTGTGGTTTCCCAGATACTGTTGACTTTAGTGACAGATATAAAGAAGCTATTGGAAAGTTCAAGGATGGAAATACTGACCCGAACCTATTTAGCTTTATGGCTCAGCACCAAAACGGATATAATCTCAAACCTGGAAAATACAAGCTCGCTAAGGGATATGATTTAATAGCATATCATCCAAATGACATGGATGAATTTACTCCGAGATATTTGATGTCAGAGCTAAATGACAATTCAACTTTCGTCATGAAACGCGTAAAAAATAGAGACGGAACGAAAGAACAAAAGCTTATGAATGCGGATGACGTAGATAGGGAATTGTTGAAAACGGTCTCGGAATATATGAAATGCCAGCAGATGAGGTACAAGAAACTCCACAGGAAGAAGTTCAGATACAACCAGACATGGAAGAAATAGTTCAGCAACAACAGCTAGAAGAGCCTGAAGGAAACGAACAAGTCACTCCTTTGGAAACTAACTTCACAGAACTAGATGAAGATTTGGAACAGCCGAAAAATCTTGACCCTCAACAAGAGTATGCGGAGAATATGGAATATTTCCAAGAGTCTAAAAAAAATTCGGCTGACATAGTAGAAGAATATCGAAAAATGTTTGCCGACATACAAAAGACTCCAACACCAGATGAAAATATTCAGCATAGAATGGAAGTACTGAAAAAAATGTACACAAATACAACAACCCTTTTTACTTACGAGCATTTAACGTTCAATCTTCGGATGAACTCGGTGAAAATAAAAGGTTAAATTTCAAGAAAACATATAGAAATGAAACATTGTTTAAAGTTCATTCAGAACCTAACCAAGATGGAAACAAACCTACTTTTGTTTCTGCAGACGATGGAACTACAATGAGATGGGGTCATAAAGCTAACCCGGATAGGTGGTTCATAAACTTACAACCTCAATTCCAAGAAGTTGTAGACGCAATGGAAGCGAATGGTGAACGAGATATAGCTGGTATTTTCAGCGCGGCTTTAATGCCATTGAAAGATATGAAACATGCAGATATTTTGGACCAGTATGAAATGAACATGGCTGATGGAAATATAACACCTGACGTTCTAGAACATTTATCTCAAAGAACTACACAGAACCATAGAGATGGTATATTTGGTGAAGAGTTTAGAAAGAAAGTTAGGGAGAGCGAAGGAAGAGAACCTATTGTACATGACCTTGCAAACGAAAGTTTGCAAAATGTCATAAAAACTTACTTTGCAGACAATGAACCGAGAAGGGATGAATATTTAAGAAAACTCAAATGGACAGTACCAAATGAAATGTTAGTATTGAAAAACATGTTCCTTGACAAAATAAAACCAACTACAGAAATAAATGACGAAAGACTGAAAGATTGGGTAAAAGCTTTCCCATTCACAAAAGATATAGTTGGTAACATGGAAAGAAAACCAGAATGGCTACAAAAACATATATTTGGAAACGAGCATATTCCATATGGACAGGCACTGTTTGAAGAGCTTGAACCAGAAACTCAGGAAAGAGTCATGCAAACAATACGCAAAGACTCAAATACAGACTATGACAAACTCTTTCTAGGATATAGGTTACCTGAGATGGGCGACCAGAGCCAAAAGGCAAAAAGGACATGGGAAATTTGCAACATACTAGATGAACATAATGCAAAGATGCAACAACTTCAAGCAGAGGGCAATGAAGGAAAAAGAAGAGTTAAAAACTCAGTCAGGAAGAAAGTAAAGCTTGGTCCACGTGGGTTCTATTATGACATATAAATCCAACTATTCTATATTTTTACTCATATGAAATGTACGCCGCTCAGAATATAACGCCAACAGTTTTGGATGCTATGAATGGAAATGTTTCCGAATGGTATAACGAATGCGACAATGCCATTAGAAGGTCAGAAATAGTTCCTGGAACTTACGAATATACAACTGCTGTTTCTTATGGAAACGTAGGTGAGTTTGGAGAAGGTTCTTCAACAACAGTAGATATTGCTTGCGACAGGTTTCATATAATTTCTATTGACAACTCTTTCTTATACGTGGAACAAGACATTGAAATAAAACCTTCTGCCAAGTTGTCTGACAAGAAAGGTTGCAATGGAATTTTCTATGTCGGATACCAATATGCTCCAGAAGTTTTCATGGGATATAAGATATATTCTAACTCTGACTTAGTTCAAACAGTAACCTGGGCAAACTATGAATGGTTCGCTTTGAGAAACTCAGTACAACCACAAGCTAGAGAACAAACAGACCAGTATGCAACTATTGAGAAAATAAGAAGACTTGACCCTAACGTTCCAGGAGTTTATGTTAACCTTTCTGGACAAACTGCAGCAGCAGTAACCAAAGTAAAACTGAAACTTAGAGTTCCTTTGTCATCTTTCCTCATCTTCAGGTTTTAAGATACTTGCCAAACTGGGCAGGAAAAATTTCTATCGAACTTACTCCAAGCAAAAATAACTTAGTCATTGCACCAACACAAGACCCATTCACTCTTACAGACGTAAAGGGAGCAAATCAAACGTCATTCGCCGAATTTTGCAAAGACAAAGTTGACTTAGACTTTGGTTTCTCAAACCTCAACACTGAAGTAAACTACTACTTCAATGCTGCTGGAACTGCTTGGGACCCAGTTAAGTTCACATGCGAAAAGTTTGAATGCAAGAGAATAGAAAGCAGACTTGCAGTCTATATGTTGGACCCAGATATTTCAAATGCTTTAGCTGCCAAATATATTGCAGTTCCACTTATGTTCCCTATACACCAAATATCTGTCAAAGACTTTGCAGGTGAAGTTGGAAACCAAAGTGCTGACCCAGGTGCAAGAACAGATATTGCCTTAACAACTGCAATGAAACATGCAGATACTATGTTTGTACTGTTCAGACGAACTATAAATGACTATTCTTGCTTCTACAACCCTGGTATTAAATACCATATAAACATAGATGGCAAATATTATCCAAGAGAAGAATATTCTACAGTTGAGGATATGAGGTCATACAACTTGACATTAGATGCTATGAACTTTAACAACAACTTCACAACAACCATTAACCCTGAAATGCAAAGTTCTATTATGCCATATGTGAAAGTATGGACTCATACAGGAGCTCAAAACACTCAATATACAAATGGAGACCGTTCAAACTTTTGGCTTGGCATTCCATTTGCTGACTCAGAAGACTTTATGGGTGGTATTTCAACTGTTGGTACAGTTCAAATACAATATACTGGTGACAGAGACGGTCCAAATGAATTGAAAGCAAAGAAGTTTACAAAACCAATAGCACTTTTCACGGAAGATGCTCTTTTGAAAATTCGTTCGATGAAACCTGCTGGGGCTCCTCAGATTGGTATAACGACAGCTTCCATCGAGCAGATTTTGGCAGCAGGTCAGTAAGTTGTTCTTGAACTGACTTCTCTCCGTCAAATATTGACAGTACGCCAGTTTTGATATAATATTGTATTATAAACTTACCTTTAGAAATATCGGTCAGTTTTGTTGTTATATTTTTGTCTGCTTCAAGAACTTTCACCATCTCGGTTATACCAACTTTCTTTGCTTTATGAAAATATTTTGGTTCAGCAAAGACTGCTATTCTATAACATTTTCCATTGTTTGTATAAAGAACTACTCTGTCAATGAACTTGTATTGTTTGTGTGTGTAAACTTTGTTTTGCTTCAATTCGAAGAGATACTCAAATACGTCCATCTTTTTATTCTAAGTAAAATGTCATTTCCGAAAAATAGAAGCGTAAGTGTTTCAAAAGGTTTAATGGCGGTGGCAGATGTGAAGTTAAATTCACCAACTCAAACAAACAGTCAAAGTGTTGTTGTCAATGTCAAAGACAGAGATGTTTGAAGTGGGGAAACCATACGAAGACGAAGATGGTATAGCAATTGTTCCTGTAAAAGAACAACCAACATATCCTGAAGTTAGCAGAGACTTAAGTTCTGTTGCAGATATTCGAAACGACTACCAACAACTTAAAGACAAACTTAAAACTCAGGAGAAGATTTGTCAAGCTTTGGGTATAATGTTAAACTTGGTTGAGCACAACCCTGTAAAAGTGAACTCATATGTCATCGCACCTCATGAAGTTTTGAAAGAACTATTGAAACTTTTGACAGAGGCAGACGATATAAACATCAAAGAAATAGAACCCGACATTAGTTGCTGTGGTGTTTCATATAATGTCATTGACAAGATATACGTTATGAAAGGAGGTGAAACGTTGAACTTAAAGTATAGTTTCCCAGACGTCATAAAAATATTTGACGACCACAACATTTCATTAAAATTTATTTGCTAAGTAAAAATGTCAAAACTTCTTGAAAGATGTTTGAAGAAAAATAATATAGACTTTATTTCATGTAAAGGACTTTACACACTTTTGAACGATATGAAAGACCCTGTTTTGTTGTTCGTTCGTAGACAAAGGAAAGTTCTATGTCTTTTACAAAATATTTGAACTTCTTAGACAGAGAACTTCAAGAACGCCATGTGAAAGTTTAGATGAAGTTCTTTCTCCACTTTCAGAAAAACTTTTAAATATATAAAATGGCAGAAGATATAATGGTTTATACTATTACGACTAAAAACCCTGAGTCATATAATTCTATAACAACAAACTTACAAAGTCCTCAAGGACGGTATTGTAAAACTAACTTTAAACACAATGACGACTAAAGCCTGTTTTGCTCTTTTGACACCAGAAGACTTTGTTGTTGTGAATGGTAAAAAATACTTCTTTGAAGATACTTACTCAGATATACCACCAACAGGTTTTGTTGACTTATTTAATACTTTAAGGACGGATGTAACATGTGCTGCAACTAGAGCAGGTTTCATTATGTTTGGATGTCCGACTGAGTTTACTATAAACGATATGAGCTATAATACAAAACTTATATCTGGTTTTTACTACCAACAGTTTCCTATAACAGGAAAAGGTGTCATACAAGGAATGTCTGTTCCATTGACTTTAAGTACACCTATTTTATATATTGTTTCAAACTTAGGTTCAAAGTGCTATTCGAATGTCGACAGAAACTACTATGACCAAAAAATACTCATGCGTATAAACAACACTTTCTCTGCTGGTTTGCCTATTGTTCATTCGAATGCAGAGTTTTCAGCTTTAGTAAACTCAAACACTTTAGCAAACATAAACTTAACCTTAGTCGACGCAAACTTTGTTCCTGTAAAACTTTTATGTCCTATGTATTTGTCAATGACGGCAGAAAGTTTCGAATTGGAAGATGCAACTGGTGAAAGTATTGTACTACAAGAACAACTTCAACAACAAATAGCTCAAGAACAACAAATGCAACAAATGGAACAAATGCAACAACAAAGTCAAGAATAAAAAAATATTTTTTTTTATTTTTATAAAAATGTACAGAATAGACGTTTCAGATTTTTATGACTTCCAAGCATTCAGAAATATGTGTCCATTTCGAGACTATAACAAAGCAGTCGAGAATTTGAAACGTTTAGTCATTTATGTCGACTCTGCCCCAGAATGTTATGTCATGAAAGAATGGGATGTTGTCTTTAACAAACCAAGAGCAACAATAGTTTCAGAACAAGAATGTAGACAGAAACTTAAGAAAATAAAAGTCGTACAAGTTGGCATGAAGATGTTAGATGCTTGGGATATCTTATTGTCAAAGTTAGAAGATTTTTCAGTTCGAGGTATAAAGTTCTATACACCTTCTCCAAACTTCTATTCTATCTTCACTGGATATAAATACGAACAAGTAGAATGGAAAGAAAATATTATAGAAGCTTGGTTAGACCATGTCAAAGAAATTATATGCAATGGAAACGAAAGAGTCTATGAGTATATCTTATGTTGGTTTGCAAACATCTTACAACATCCAAGTGCTAAAAATGAAACTGCTCTCATCATAATTGGAAAACAAGGAACTGGTAAGAACACTTTCTTTACAGATATTTTGTGCAAACTGTTAGAGGGCTATTCGAACCCTAATATGACAAACTTAGAAAACATCTGCGGTAAATTTAACTCTTCAATAGAGAATATGAAACTTATAGTATGTAACGAACTTCAAAGTATAGATACAACAAAAGTTTTGAACTCAGATGCTTTGAAGAGTCTTATAACAGACAAAGTTGGAGTTGTTGAAAGAAAATATAAAGACCAAAGAGTTTGTGAAAATGTTGCAAACTTCGTCATGGTTTCAAACACGCTGTTCCGATGAAGTTAGAAAGTTCTGACAGAAGATATGTAGTTGTCAGAACGTCAGATTCTCATATGCAAGATACAGAATATTTTGACGACTTAGCAGAAACTTTGACACCTAACTTTTACAACCACTTGTTCTCATATTTTATGACATTAGATATTTCTAAGTTCAATCCAAGACAAATTCCACATACCGAAGAAAGACAAACATTGTTAGAAGCAAACAAGAGTGTATATGAACTGTTTATAGATGAGACTAACTTTGAGTGTTTAGATGAAAGGTCTTTGTACGACTCGTATAAACAATATTGTCAAGAGTATGGTTATATGACAGCATCTAAACGAACATTCTTGGCAAATGTCAAAAATCTTTTAGACATACAGAACGGCGTATATACAAAGAAAAATTTTTCTGAGTAAATTTTTAAAAAATATTTTTTTATCCGATAGAAAAGATGACGAAATTCATCTCAGTCAACAAGTACATGTCAGGACTTAAAGAAGAACTAGACCCATTCGCTTATTTGAATGTTTACTTCTACCATTTTGAAAAGTCTACATTTGACAAAGTTTGGAACATCGAACCAGTTAAGTTTGCTATTGTGACTAAAAATGGTGCGAAATTTGAAGACTTAGACATAGAAGGTTTGTTAGCAGTCAAAGAAAATTTTGACAGAAGGTTCTCAAACCTTAAAGAAGGCAAAGCATACAAACTTGTTATACCTTATGAACCAAAGAAAGCAGACGACTATGAATATTATGAGTCTAAGATAGTTGAAGTTCAAGGTAAATTGGGTAAAAAGATTTTAGAGTCTAAGCCAGTGTTTGCTCCTAAAGAGGAAGAGAACATTGACATTGACCCAGAAATGTTCTAAAAATAAAATTTTATTTTTACATGTCATATCTCACCTTCTCTGGAACTGGTTCAGGTTCTTTCTTCTCTTCTTCTACTTTCTTTTCTTTCTTTTCTCTCTTCTTCTTCTTTTCTGGTGGAGTTATGTCAAATTTCTCCGAACCATATTTCTGTAAAAGTTCTTTGTCCTTTAATAGCTCATCTATTCTGTTTTCTATTTCATCTTCAAGAACAGCGCATGTGTCTTCTTTGCATTCTAAGAACTTTTGTTGGACTTCATCTTTCCAATCGGCGTCATCTCTGTCAACAAGTCTGTCATTGACAAATTTTAAGACTGCTCTTTGTAATGTTTTATGGTTCTTGTCATATTCCCAGAAACAGAACTTTAGAACAAATTCACCTTTCTTGTTTACACTATGTAAGATTTTATGGTCGACAGATGTTTTAGAGTCGAAAAGTTTGTCTCGAATATAGATAGCGAAATCGCTAGACATTTTCAAAAAGATAAAAATTTTAATTTTTCTAAAAATATGTTAGAAAAAAAGTTTGCTGACATTGACAAGAAATTTGAGAATGTTTTAAACAAGAACAAGAGGAAGTTAGAAAATGCTCAGATAAAACCCATACATGACAAGTTCCTATTTGCTCAGAATGGTATAACAGGTCTAATCGCACCACCTGGGTCGGGCAAGACTTTCACTTATCTTAAAATGGCTGCACAACAACAAGAACTAGATGAGAAGAACCCATTCTATGAGTTAGTAGTCATTTGTAGTACTTCTGGTCAATTTGACCAAACCGTAAATTCGTTCAAAGATATTATAAAGAAGTCTAAGTTAGTATGTATAAAAGACTCTGAGTTGTTAGATTGGATAAAGAAGTACCAAAGAAGAGTTTTGAAGTACAATGCTATAAATGAGTATGTCAATTCGAAGTTTAAAGACCCAAATGAGGAAATGCAGAGAATATTAGAGAAGAAACACTTCAGAAACAAACAGAAAGAGATAGAATACATTTCGAAGAAATTGCAATCTTACGATTGGAAGACTTACCCTCACAGATGTCTTCTTATCTTAGATGATTTCGCCTCTCATCCTTTGTTAAAGAACAGAGAACAAGATATGTGTCGAATTCTTAAGAAGCTCAGACACTTTAACATCTCAGTTGTCATTTGTGTACAGACAGCAAAGAGTTTAAGTAAGGATGTAAAGAGAATACTTACTGACATTGTACTTTTCCCTGGATTGTCCGAAGACGATTTCATGGAACTTATGAAAGAGTCCATGGCAGGTAAGTTTGACAGACATGAACTCTGGGAGAAGTACAAAGTCATACAAGACCCTCATACTTCTTTCAGAATTCACATCTACGCGAACAAAGTTCAAATTGTAAAAAGTCAAGCTTGAAAAATAAAGAGTTTTGTGCTGAATTCAATAAAAATATATTTTTAGGGTAGATGGGTATATCTAACCCGATTTCTAACCTCATTTCTACCCCATATGTCCTTACTGAAAAAGTACGTGTTCCATATGTCATTTTACTCAGAATTTTACTCAGAATTCAATAAAAATATATTTTAGGGTAGAAGGTTAGATATACCCTCTTTTCTACCCCGTTTTCTACCCTCATTTCTACCCCAGTTATTTTATAAGCGTTTTACATGGTAAACATTGTGAATTCGTGAAATTCTAAACAATTTCGTAGCTTCTATTTCTTCTGTCAGTACATCGAATGTTTTAACTATGCCGAATGTTTCTTTATATTTCTTCTTGACATCAGATAGAAGGAAATCGTCAGCTGTTGGATAGTTTTTGTTCAGAAATGTCAACATGTCCATTTTATCTTCTGCTGGTTTCTCTACTTCTTTCTTTAAGTCTGCATAGTCGTTTCGCATACGTTCTATCTCTTTGACGGAGTAGTTATATTTCCTCATTGCTGCTTTACATTTTGAACATTGTGGGTTCATTTTAGCATTGTACATTGAAATCTTACCTGCTAGTATGACTAAGGCGTCAATGGTTTTCTTTAACTCAAAAGCTGCTGGTTTTATTTGTCCGTTCCATACCTTACCTCTTTTATCTTTATCTCTTATCTGCCATACACATTCAGCAACTAACGAAACAAAGTTGTCGTAGGTCTTAAACTCCCCAGATTTATATATGTCAGAGATGTTCTTATATACCATGTCGCAATCTTTGTCCATGACTTTGTGGTTGCAATGAAATCCAAGAAACTCATAGTTAACCTTTCGTATGAACTTCTTTATTTCTACTGAGTCAGTTGGTTTCACTTCTATTTCATCGAATTCTGGAATAGTGAGCTTTTGTTGCTGTATTTCAGGAAGTTTAGGTAGATGGTCAATAATATCCTGCATTTCATAAAGATACTGTTCATTTGTTTCATTCTGTGCGGTACAGTCTAAATTACATGTTAAAAGTTCTTGCTTTATCTTCTGGATTTTTGTTTCGAAAGTATATGAAGAAGGAATGAAGCTTTTCATCTCTACTAACATTGACGTAGGATTCATAACTAACGAGTTTGGTGCTGTTGTTGCTAACATGTTCTTACAATAAAAATAAAAAATATTTTTTTTAAAAAACTAACTTTATTTTTTATTTCGGGAAAATTCATGAGGTGAAAAAACAGGTGAAAAAAGAGGTGAAATCTCACCTCTTCACCTAAACATTATTTTTGTCTGATTTACGCTCATTACGATGAAGTTTCGACAAAACATTTACGTTCATGTTTGACAAAACATTTACGATGAAATCATGAAAATTCAAGAGGGTGAAAAAACAGGTGAAAAAAGAGGTGAAATCTCACCTCTTCACCTAAACATTATTTTTGCTGAATTCAGCAACAACTTTCTCTCAATTGGAGCTGTGGCATACTCTTTGCGTAAGCGGTTCAGACCTTCTTCGAAGTCTTGGTCTCTCTTCGATTTGTATTGAGATTGGAATTGCTGGAACTGAGGTGCAGGGGCTGGTGCTTTAGGTTCCTCTGGTTTGGGAATGGACTCAGTTGGTGGGACGTCGGACATTCGTTTGTGGCTTAACCGTCGGACATCCGTTTGTGTCCTGTCGGAAGGAAGAACTTTTCCTGTCGGACATCCGTTTGTGTCCTGTCGGAAGGAAGAACTTTTCCTGTCGGACATCCGTTTGTGTCCTGTCGGAAGGAAGAACTTTTTCTGTCGGAAGGAAGAACTTTTCCTGAAGTTCGACAGGAAAAGTTCTCAATTTTCGAAAATTTGAATGGTTTACGGACGGACAACTGGAAGAACTTTTCCTGTCGGAAGGAAGAACTTTTCCTGTCGGAAGGAAGAACTTTTCCTGTCTGATGGAAGGACTTTTCCTGTCTGATGGAAGAACTTTTCCTGTCTGATGGAAGGACTTTTCCTGTCAGTAGCAGTACTGCTAGTAGCAGAGATTTTTATCGTCCAACTTTACAAATGTAAACTCCTATCGTTCTATTTTCTTCACTAGGGTCTAACACCAAAGTAACCTTACAAATGTAAACTTATATCGTTCTATTTTCTTCACTAGGGTCTAACACCAAAGTAACCTATGTACATGAAATTTCACTGCATAAAAGGAAAAAACTTGCGCGAATCGGGATTTGAACCGAGGTCTTCGACGCCTGTAACGAGGTAGCCCATACCACTGAGCTATGAGCCGCTTGCATATTTTTAAGTAAAATATAGTATATTTGTCATACCGTGAAGGATGACCAAACTTAAAAAAAAATAAAGTTAGTTTTATTTTTTTCTATCTTAAGGAAATTCATGAAAATTCAACGGTTGAATTTTGTATAAAAACCAACCCGCTGTTTTCCGCGGGTTGGTATATTCTTCACAAAATGCTTGTTTTGAGGTCGAGCCACTTTTGGCTCCACCTCTTTTTTCAACCAAAAACTCATTTTTGTCGAATTCAGCACAAAATTCATGAAAATTCAACGGGTGAGAAAACAGGTGAGAAAAGAGGGTAGAAAACGGGGTAGATATACCCTTCTACCCTAAAATATATTTTTCAATACTTTTTCAGCACTTTTCCGTAGTTGTATATGAAAGACAATTCGAGATAAAAGTCATAGTACAATGGTATAATATGCTGCACACCGTTTGTTGTGAACCAAACTTGAAAGTCAGAGAAACTGTTACTAGGTGGTTCGTAGAATTTAGAAGCAAAGTCATAAAAGTCCTTACCGATACATAGAAAACTGTTGTTGCTTGAACTGAAACTTGCATGACACATGACATTTTGAGGGTCAAACACATTTCTATAAACTGTCAAATCTGTTGGTGGGCGTATAAATTTAAACGGACCGTCAGGTGGTAATGGTTCGTTCTGGTTTAGTAACCGAAGAAATTGTGCCCAAGAACGTTTGTCTACTTCCCAAAATAAAAACTCTGTACTTCTTCGAGGGTTAATTTCAATCCTTTGAAATGAAACGGTTGAGTTCATCTTGTCATATTCTAGTTTCAGATAGTAAGTTCCGTTTAGTAGAGAGTCGTATTTTTCTTGCAATTCCCAATAATATTTGTTCATTTGAGTTTGAAAGTCATTTAGAGTTTTTTCAAGGTTTTCGTCTGAACGAATTGTAAAGATTCTCATTTCATCAAATTTGTCTATTAGACCATCAGAACCTCTATACTGCCCATGAAAATATACTGCGAACATAAAAGCGTTCGTTCTATTTGAAAACAAAACTCTTCTAAATCCTATTGCCTTTGCATCTGAAGGACTTTGAAGCCAACGAATTGGAAAGTCAAACCTGTAAGCACCGGATGAAATTTCTTCATCTGAAATAGTCCTACCGGCATTTGTAAAGATATAGTCTAACGGTTTTGTATCTGCTACATTTGTTCTTTGTTTTTCAACCTGAAGCATTTTATATATGTAAAAATATACTGTTTTAAAAATGTTTTAAAATAGTATGCCATATAGCTTCTTGAATTTGTTAAGACGTATTTGAACGCGTTTTCCATCTGTATCTCTAGTGTTTACATAAGCATAGCCTGCCTTAGTAAAACATACTTGTAATTTCCTATAGTTTACGCCGGTATAAAAGTAGAAAGAGTCTTGTTCTTCGCTATAGTAGTAAAACTCAAACGTATGCTCGCCATAGTCTGTAATTTCAATTGCTTCATCTTCTAGTTCGTCGACAAATTCGAATACAATATCTGCAAATTTGCTTTTGTTCTTATTGTTTTCAGAACGAGTGACCCAACGTAAGTTTTCAAGTCTATTGTCGTTTCTTATATGGTTTATATGGTCTACAAAAGGTAAATTGTTAGGGTTCGGTATAAAATGAGTTGCAATGACAATATGTTTAAAATAGTTTTTTCCACTCATCTTCATCCTAGCATATCCGTTATTTTGCTCCCATTCGCTTAAAACTCTCTTTGTCTTTTTGTTTCTGACTTCGAATGACTCACAACAGTGAATTTCATATTTCTCATCTAACAAACAAGTTTTCCAACGGTCTGTTCCAACAAACTCAGCGTACATTTCAAATAAAATAAAAATATATATTTTTGAAAAAATGTTTTGTTTTAAATGGTATGCCATTTCATATTTCATCGTCTAATTTCTCATGAACTTTCTTGTCTATGTTTTCCCAACGGTCGTCTCCAACAAAACTCAGCGTACATTTCAAATAAAAATAAAAAAATGTTTTTCCTTTACTTTACGTAACCACCCGCTACCAGAAGCCTTTGACGCCAACCCATACCAGCTAATGAAGGTTGACTTGGTTTAGTTTCCAAACTAAACTTTGGTTTTGGTTTATCTTCAGTTTTTGGTTTTTCTTCTTCTATCGGTTTTTCGTCACTTTTCGGTTCCTCTGACTTTACTTCACTTGCAGGTATGGTTGTGTCGTCAACATCTTCATAAATATCATATGCCATCTGTTTTTGTTTTCCTTTCAACTTTTTGTGTTTGTTGTAAAGTTTAGAATATTTTGACTCTAAGTCAATGAGATGTTCTATAATGAACTGTTCGTCAGTGAAGTAAACTTTTCCATCTGTTGTCTCGAAAATTCCTTCAGACTTCAATATTTTATTTGTGAGAGTCTGTTTCTTTTTTGAGATACTAGCCGTTCCATTTCTATGAAAAGTGACTTTATAGTTAGGGTTTGTATTTCCAGACCTGGCACTTTCTATTATTGAATTTTTTTCTTCATCTGTAAGTTCTTTGACAGGTTTTGACAATGGTTCTGAACTTTTTGTTTGTGGTGTCAAATCTACCGTTTCAACTTCTTCGGTCATTTCATCTCAGTAAAAAATTTTAGTTTGGTTTGTTTTCAACTGGTTGTTTAGGTTTTTTAAGTCGGTCTAAAACTTCCTGAGGTATAGGAAGAACTTGACAAACACGTGGTTGTGTAAACTGCTGGAAGTCGACAAATCCATCTTGAACCCATTTGTCTCAAAGCTGTATTGTTTCATGTTCATCTCAGTAAAAAACTTACATTCCCCACGTTTGAGGTGGTTGAGGTTGGTTGTTGTTTACCCACTGTTGTGCATGGTTATATCCTCTGTTAAAGAATCTTCACCTTGGTCCATGTAGTGTCCTGCTTGGTTATAGTAGTCATTTGCTTTGTTATAGTAGTTTCCTGCTTGTGTTCTTACATTGTCCATCCATCCTTGAACTTTCCTCTTGTTTCAGGATTTGGAATAAGATTTGTTGCATCTCGTGCTACATCCCAACCTTTCTGTACAGTTTGTATAATAGGCTGTGCTTTCTCTTTCAGTATACCTAATGTACTCAAATCTCCTTCCAACTCCAAATACACCTCTGGCTATTGTTCCCACTGCGGGCAAAAATCTGGATGCAACTCCTGCTAATGCGCCAAATAAACCCATTTCTTATGGGTTAAAAAATGACGAATCCAAACAAGGACCCCTATGTTTCTAAAGCGACAAAGAAAGCACTCATGATAAAAATCTTTAGTTCAACACCAAATGCTTGGTTTATGGATATCTTGGAAAACATTCCGAGAGTTAGAACAGATGGACCTCCATACTGGCTAATATTTGTCGGTCAAAACACAAGATACTGTGAAGCCATACCATTACAGTCCAAAAATATTTTAGATGTGAAAACTGCTTGACAATATTCGTTGACAAATACCATCCAACAAAACTGACATCTGACTGTGAAAGTTCTTTCAAATCAGACGATATTAAAAACTATCTGCGTTCAAAAAATGTAAACCAATATTTCATTGTCGACCAAAACCATTCTGCTCTTGTGTCATTGACAGTTGTATAAAAATCTTAAGAGACTTAAACCAACCACAAGGTGGTGAAGCAAATGAAATGTCATATGACGACAAATATAGACACTTCTCCATGGCAAAGATGAGACAAGTTTTAAATATTTACAATAGCCGTAAACAAAAAGGTTTGGGAAACCACTCCCCGAAGAAATGAAAAACAACCCTGACTTAGAGAAAGACTATATATTTAATAGTTTAGTCAAAAGAGACAAACAAGAAAGAATGCCAGGCTTCAAACTTAAGAAAGGCGACAAAGTAAAAATAGAAATACCTAAACGCGACCCATATGAAAATACTATTGACTATGACAACAATGGGAACTCGACAGGTACTCGCATTCGTGTTCGTAAAAATAGAAGAAAGTATACAAGAGAATATTATGAAGTTTTAGGCAAACATGGCAAAATGTACACACTGCAAGCAGAAGATAAAACTACTATTGTCAGACCTCGTTTCAAACTTGTCAAAGTTCAAGGTGGTATACTTTCAAAAACAGTTCCTAAAAATATAAGACAACTCCTGACGAATATGCTAAAGAAGTTGAAAATGACGACTAAGCATTTCTATACCATGCGTAAACTGTCATGTAAGGTGGCATGTAGTCTTTACTTTGTCCCGTTGTTTGCGTATATCCTGTAACGCGATGTGTATGGTTTCCATCTCCCTGAGTGTCACTCCAGTAACAATTTATAGCAAACTGAACGTCGTCTTTAACATCATATCCTTTACCTTTTTCAAGGCGTGCCAATCCCAAAATTTATGCTTATGCCAACCTGCTTGAGATGTACTTAAATCTATGTAGTGACTGTGCGCAGGTAGGTTTTCACCTGAAATCGTTTTACTTCCACCTGTTTCCTTTGAAGAGTTTGCACAATACAA